CCTGGGCGCGCGCTGCGGTGAGGCCTGGGGAGCCCTGCGCGCCGGGACGCGCGGGCCGGCATGGCGATGCACGCCCTCACCGGCTTCTCGCTGGTCAGCCTGCTCAGCTTCGGCTACTTGTCCTGGGACTGGGCCAAGCCGAGTCTGGTGGCCGACGGCCCCGGCGAGGCCAGCGAGCAGCCCTCCGTCGCTCCACCCCAACCTCCCCACATTATCTTCATCCTTACCGACGACCAGGGCTACCACGACGTGGGCTACCATGGCTCAGATATCGAGACCCCTACGCTGGACCGGCTGGCCGCCGAGGGTGTCAAGTTGGAGAATTATTATATCCAGCCCATCTGCACGCCTTCGCGGAGCCAACTTCTTACTGGCAGGTAGGCATGGCCCAGGCCCCTGGGGCTGGCTGTCTAAGCCCCAAATAAACCCAGCCTTAGATTTCCCCTGCCTTTACAGTCGCCTCTCTGGGACCTGGGAAACCAGGACTCCGGGCCAATCCTGCCTCCAGTTGGCTGTGTGATCATTAGTAAATCCTTTGCCCTCTCTGGGCCTCAGTTTCCTGCATGTACACTGAAAGGGTTGGATCATCTTTGAGGTCTTCTCCTCTGGTGTTACAGGACACTCACACTCCACACCATGTGAAGGAGACATCTGGTCATCCCTTTGTTGAAGGAACACAGCAGCCTCTGACACTTAGGTTTGAATGGTGCTTCTATTTACATACCCTGAGGCCCTGAACAAAGTACTTAATATCTCTAAGCCTAAATTTTCTTGTCCATAAAATGGGATGAACAGTTTTTATCTTGAGAAAAACGGTAAAGATGGAATGAATTTTGTGTAACCTGCTTGGCTGTCAATGAGTGGCAGCCTCTGTGTCCCTGGAGGGATTAAGCTCTCCAAAGTGTTTGATGGCTACATTGGGAAGAAACCAAAGAATTGATAGGTGGAGGTGAAAGGCACACAGAATGCAGGGACCTAAGAAGCCTTAGGCTAGTTACTTCATTTCTCCAGACATCTGTTTTTTCATATGTGAAAGCTTCCCACACTGGCTGCGAGTCCCAAGGAGACATGCTGCTTTCGAGTAAGGAGTCGTCCACAGGCAAGGTGGCAGGACTACAGGATTAAAAGAGCAGGGAAACAGGAGGTGCGGGTGTGGAAAGCAAACTGTGGCCACTTAAGAGAAAATCCTTTGGCAAGGCTGGAGCTAATCTTCCCTGGATTGGGTCCAAGGCCTGCTTTCTCCCAGGTTCCACCCAAAAGCCACTAGTGTGATCTCAGGAACCAGAGCCGTAATCTCCCTGATTCCTAGTTAGGAGAAACTGAGGCAAGACCCAACTCATTCATGCTCGTACCCAACTTCAGGGTCTGTATGAGAGGCGGCTGAGAGGCCAGGTATTTGGCAGGGGTCCTGGAGCAGGCAGTCAAATATCTGCCTTTTCTTCCTTCAGTCTGGCACTCAGCATTTAGATCCAGGAAGAGAAAGAAAGAACGGGAGAAAGAACAAGAGGGGCGCCACTGTATGTATTACAGGTGGCAGTGGGGGTAAAGACCAAATGGTGACTAACCTCCAGCAGAGAGAGAAGGAATCGGCATCCCCGGGACTTGTGCACAAATCAGCGTTTCTGTCCCAAGAGGTGACTTGGTTTAAGCAGGGGAACAAGCAGCCAGTAGGGCAGCGTTCCAGCCCCATGATCTGTGAAGTTAGCTGAGCGTGGCTGGGCAGCGTCTGCCCTCCGCCCCCTGCAGCTGGCTCCATCTGACTGATGCTGACGACTCTCATTAGTGTTTGTTAATAAACCCAGTCGTGTTTGGTGAAGCTGGAGAGAGGCAGTTTCTCATGTTACTCACTTGCACATGGGCTTCAGGGACCCTGGGCCGGCCCACCCACTTTATGCAACAGTGCTCCATGGTGCCCAGCTCCTAGAAAGAGAGGCTTGGCCCTGATTCAGGGCCCTAGAGTACTTCTTGTATCAAGCCTAATTATTCATTAGCTTGACTGAGGTCTGCAGAGGCTGCATCACCAAGAAATCCTGAGCATGAGTTATGTAGACCTGGGTTCAAAGCTCAGCCCCACAGCTTGCCAGCTGTCTGAACTTGGGCCTGTGGCCACACTTTTGGGAGCTTCAGTTTCATCATCTGTAGAATGAAGGTAATAATAGTCTTCCCTGTAGGTTTTTTATGAGGAGTAAGTGAAATAATCTAAGTGGCATATAGTATTAAAAATGGCAGTAGTAGCTAATGATAGCTAACAATAATAACAGCTATAAGATAAGGAAACCAACAGGAAAACCCACCCCAGTGCCCAGGTTAAAGGTATCAGGTATTCAGGCCTTGGCTTAATATGCAACCCTGGGAGGGGAGGGAAGGGGAGGGTCAGGGAGGGAGGGCATGTATAGAAAAAGGGTGTGGGCTTCTAATATACTTGTGAAGTTCCAGGCTTCTTATTTCCTCTGAACTTTTAAGACTTGAGTAAATGCAACACCCCATTATCAGATCACACCAGGGCCTTTACCACATCAGGGGGAATGGGATTTGAATGAATGAATGGAGGAATGAGGAATGCAGGATTCTGCTAGCCATTTGCTTAAGGGTGTTAGCCTGTGTAAGTGACCCAGATCCAGAGACCACATGAACTTACAGACAGGCACAGAAGAACTAGTCTCATAGAATTTGGGAACAGAATTTTTAAAGATCTCCCATTTCAACCACCTCACTCCTACATATGAGCAAACAGGCCCCCATGGGCAAGGGAAGTGGCAGCCTACTTTACTGGAGAAAGGTCTGTGCTTGGACTGTTTGCATTTATGTTCAAGTCCTGGCTCTGCCTCTGACCACAGAATGACCTTGGGCAAGGCTCTTCTTCTCTGGATCTTAGTTCCTTTTTAAGACAAGATGAATAAGCTAAAAGATGACTTGGGTCCCTTCTGGCTCTAAAATCCTCTGAGTATCATTTATTCATTCCATAAGTAATTGAGTGTTCTTTATTTAAAAAAAAAATTATTGATTGATTTTAGAGAGAGAGAGGAAGGGAGAGAGTGAAATATATAGAGAGAAACATCGATTTGTTGTTTTACTTACTTATGCATTCATTGGTTGATTCTTGTGTGTGCCCTGACCAGGGACTGAACCCGTAACCTTGCCATGTTAGGACCATGCTCTAACAAACTGAACTACTCAACTAGGGCTTTAAATGTTCTTTAAATACCATCTGAGTGCTAGGAATACAAAGTTGAGTAAAGGAAAATCCCATTACATATCATTGAGCCCGAGAGTATGCACACTGACTAGAACTCATAGGCAAGTGTGACAATGATCATGGGACTAACCGCTGGGGGAACTCAGAAGCAAAACGGACTCATTTTTTGAAAGACTTGTGAGAGACTTTACAAGAGAGTGTGTGGGTGGGTAACATTTGGGTTGGGCTTTGAAGAGTGAGTAGGAGTTTGCCTGAGAGGGCAAGACTTCTCTAGGCCCCATATCAAGTTAGTGGCTTAGAACTTGGGAACTCTGAAGTCTCTAAAACTGCTGGGGAAACAAATCCCAAGTCTCTAGTTACTAATTGTATGAATCACTGGGCAAGTGATTTTACTGAGCCTCAGTTTCCTTATTTGGGAAATGGGAATGANGTAACCTTGCCGTGTTAGGACCATGCTCTAACAAACTGAACTACTCAACTAGGGCTTTAAATGTTCTTTAAATACCATCTGAGTGCTAGGAATACAAAGTTGAGTAAAGGAAAATCCCATTACATATCATTGAGCCCGAGAGTATGCACACTGACTAGAACTCATAGGCAAGTGTGACAATGATCATGGGACTAACCGCTGGGGGAACTCAGAAGCAAAACGGACTCATTTTTTGAAAGACTTGTGAGAGACTTTACAAGAGAGTGTGTGGGTGGGTAACATTTGGGTTGGGCTTTGAAGAGTGAGTAGGAGTTTGCCTGAGAGGGCAAGACTTCTCTAGGCCCCATATCAAGTTAGTGGCTTAGAACTTGGGAACTCTGAAGTCTCTAAAACTGCTGGGGAAACAAATCCCAAGTCTCTAGTTACTAATTGTATGAATCACTGGGCAAGTGATTTTACTGAGCCTCAGTTTCCTTATTTGGGAAATGGGAATGATAATGATATGCACCCCCTAGGTTGTAGTGAGGATTTAGCGAGATAATTCGTATAGGGGCTTAGTGCAGTGCTGACTACATAGTGAGTGCTTGGTGCTAGTTATTATTATTTTGTTGTCATGATGAACCTGGGTTCGACTCCTAACTCTCCAACTTCCTCGCTGTGTTATCCTGGGTATGTGACTTAACCATTCTGAGCTTCAGTCTCCTCATTTGTAAAATGATAATAATATCAGCTTCAGTTGATTCTGACGATTCAGAGAGAGAATGCATTTGAAGTGCTAAGCACATTTGACAATACCTGCTGGTGACTATTACTATGCACGCTGGTAACGCTGGGGCCAGAGCCCACTGCAGGGTGTCAGGGGTTGGGTGGCCAGGGCGGTGATTTGTAGCTTACTTGTGCCTTCTCTGCCCTCCGCTTTTCTCACCAGGTACCAGATCCACACAGGACTTCAGCACTCCATCATCCGCCCCCGGCAGCCTAACTGCCTGCCCCTGGACCAGGTGACACTACCTCAGAAGCTGCAGGAGGCAGGTTACTCTACCCACATGGTGGGGAAATGGCACCTGGGCTTCTACCGGAAGGAGTGCCTGCCCACCCGCCGGGGCTTTGACACCTTCCTGGGCTCGCTCACAGGCAACGTGGACTACTACACCTACGACAACTGCGACGGCCCTGGGGTCTGCGGCTTTGACCTGCATGAAGGTGAGAGTGTGGCCTGGGGGCTCAGCGGCCAGTACTCCACCATGCTCTATGCCCAGCGTGTCAGCCACATCCTAGCCAGCCACAGCCCGCGGCAGCCCCTCTTCCTCTATGTGGCCTTCCAGGCCGTACACACCCCCCTGCAGTCCCCTCGTGAGTACCTGTACCGCTACCGCACCATGGGCAACGTGGCCCGGCGGAAGTACGCGGCCATGGTGACCTGCATGGACGAAGCCGTGCGCAATATCACTTGGGCCCTTAAGCGCTATGGTTTCTACAACAACAGCGTCATCGTCTTCTCCAGTGACAACGGTGGCCAGACCTTCTCCGGGGGCAGCAACTGGCCACTGCGAGGACGCAAGGGCACTTACTGGGAAGGTGGTGTGCGGGGCCTGGGCTTCGTCCATAGCCCTCTGCTCAAGCGAAAGCGACGGACCAGCCGGGCGCTGGTGCACATCACAGACTGGTACCCGACCCTGGTGGGTCTGGCGGGGGGCACTGCCTCCACGGCCGATGGGCTGGACGGCTATGATGTGTGGCCAGCCATCAGCGAGGGCCGGGCCTCGCCACGCACGGAGATTCTGCACAACATTGACCCGCTCTACAACCACGCCCGGCACGGCTCCCTCGAGGGGGGCTTCGGCATCTGGAACACGGCCGTGCAGGCTGCCATCCGCGTGGGCGAGTGGAAGCTGCTGACGGGGGACCCCGGCTATGGGGACTGGATCCCACCACAGACGCTGGCGGCCTTCCCCGGCAGCTGGTGGAACCTGGAGCGCATGGCCAGCGCCCGCCAGGCTGTGTGGCTCTTCAACATCAGTGCCGACCCGTACGAGCGGGAGGACCTGGCTGGCCAGCGGCCAGATGTGGTCCGCGCCCTGCTGGCCCGCCTGGTGGACTATAACCGCACGGCCATCCCCGTGCGCTACCCGGCTGAGAACCCCCGGGCCCATCCTGACTTCAATGGGGGTGCCTGGGGGCCCTGGGCCAGCGATGAGGAAGAGGAGGAGGAGGAGGAGGAGGCCAGGTCTCGAAGCTTCTCCCGGGGACGCCGCAAGAAAAAATGCAAGATTTGCAAGCTGCGATCCTTTTTCCGTAAACTCAACACAAGACTGATGTCGCACCGGATCTGATGGGGGTGGGGGGAGGTGAGGATCTCTGCCCCTCTTAAATGTATTCCGCAACTCAAGCCTGGTCCTGCTCTTCCCCACGAAGGAGCCTGAGGTCACCTCACCATCTACAGGGAAATGGAGGGCGTACAGCCACTCAGGGCTGGGGGTAGAATAAACTAGACTGGGATGCCTGGATCCCAGTCTTGCTTCTCCGTTGACTTACTCTGTGACCTCAGGAGACCTGTATAAGCTCTCTGGGCCTCACTTTCCTCATCTGTGAAATGAGCTCTAATGACGTTGTGGCTCTGTGGTGTGGACCTGGTGCCTGGTTCCATGGTGGAGTTCCTGGGACCTCACCACCTTCCAGCTCATTGAAGGTCTCATGCTTGAACCCTGACCTCTGTGGTACTGCTTGGGTGAGGGGCCACATGGAAGCAAGTCCAGGCCTGGACCCCCCCAGCCAAGGCATGGCAATCTGGCCACTTTCTGAAGAGATCCCCCAAGTGCTGTGGGTGGAGGTGCAGGGATCCAGGGAGGTGACCTGGCCTGGGGTTGGACTGTTGTGGGTGGGGGGCCTGTGGTAGAGAGATCTCCTTCCTGCCCCCAGCACCCAGAGGAACTGGCCTGGTTGTTAGCTGCTGCAGGTCCAAGGGTTGTGGAAAGAGCTATGAAAAGAGCCCCTGAACCAATAATCAGGACATCTGGGTTCTGTTTTGGCCTTGGGCCCAGTCCTTCCCCTCTGGGCCTCAATTTCCCCACCTGCAAATGGGGATGCTGGCCCTGGCTCTGCCTACCTCACAGGGTTGTAGAGGACTGGCCAGGCTAGTGATTGTGGAGGAGCCCATGAACTTGATTAAAATGCAGTAACACAGAAGCAAGGGCTGTAGTGCTGTTTATGAGCACATGTGGGTGTGTGCATGTGCGTCCTGGAGGCAGGTGTGAGCTCACCACTGACCAAGTGAATGGTAGAGGAGGTGGGCAGCCTGGCCTGGAGGTGGAACGTGTGGGTTCTGGTCCTGTTCTGGCACAGATCCACTGGGTAACCACAGGTAAATCCCAGATCCTCTGTGGGCCTCAGTGTCCCCTCTGTATAGTGGATGATCTAAGAGACCTTTCCACTTGGCCATTCTGGGCTCCCCTGCGTGCATGTGTGTGTTGGGGGCAGTGGGGGGAGGACATGGACTGAGCGGTCGGAGGAGGGAGTGGGGGTTTCAGAGCCTCCTTGCTGCATAGTGTGCCTCCATCCGCACACTGCGTTCTGCATATCTCCCTTCAGGTTCCAGTCGGCACAGCGTGTGTAGGCGAAAGCCCTGCTGTGAATTTTGAAAATAGTTATTTTTGTCTCTGGCAAAGGAGGCCTGTTAGGACTCGTCAGCTTGTAGATGAGCAGGACGGGTGGG